GGGTGCCACTTGGCGTCAACATCATGAAGCATCTTTATTTGTGTCCATCGCCTTTTATCAACCGTCCACATTGCTGTGTCAGCCTGGGTGCATTAGTGCAGTCCCAGAGCTGGATTTGCCAGATTATTGGGATTCTGACTTGTGTTTTGAATTGGCTTGGGAGGTCAGAGTCTGAGCTGGGCACTGGGCAATTTATTTTATTGAATTTTATTTATTTATGCCAATTTATGTGCTCCAAATCCCGAGTCAGGAATTATACAGAAGTACAGGACTACACCTGGAAACCTGTCGCTTCTGTAACTGTGCCACCAGTGACATCATCGGAAATTGCAGAGTGTGCAAAGGCCATTCTGTCCATCATAAGGACCCCATCAAGATCTGATTATTCCTCTCTCGCACCAACTTCTAGTACAGAGAATTCACTCCCTAAGAAAACTAAAATAAAAGCCGCAAGGTATCTCCATAGTTTTAGTGTCCCTTTCCAACCATTCCAGCCTTTAGTGGTGCCAGTTAATACTCATCGGGTATGTTGAGTGTTTGTTCCTCTAATCTACTCTAGTGAAGTTTTTCTCAAGGTTTGTGAATCTTGTACATCAGTTGCATGTTACTGTCCCACAGCGTAATGTGACCTTTTTAAGATCTAAGAAATTTTAACATCCTATCTATTTGTGGTTTCTGTAATTTCTATCCATGGTAGTTTATTGTTTACTCATTGTTTGATGTATATTCACTTTATAGTTCAATCTGGAAGTATTTGTCCGTCTTTTAAAATGCATCAACTTTGGATTGACTACAAGTGTTGACGACATTTTGAATGTACCCTGCACAGAAATATTAATCAGAATGCTTCAGTGACTCCTGTCTCTTCAACGTGCAATACACTTCCTAATCTCAATTGGAAGTCATCAAAGATTACCATCCTCGTAGGAACAAAAGGTCATTTAGCCCTTGTACCCGTCCCACCATTCAATGAGATTATGGCTCATTTAATGTTATTCATAGAATCCTTACAGTGTGGAAACAGGCCATTCAACCCAACAAGTCCACACCAACTTTCTGAACAGCATCGCACCCAGACTCATCCCACTACCCTCCCCCCGTAACCCTGCATTCCTCATGGCTAACCCACCTAGACACTATGGGGCATGTTAGCATGGCCAATCCACCCAACCTGCACATCGTTGGACTGTGGGAGGAAACCAGAGCACCCAAGCAGACATGGGGAGAATGTGCAAACTCCACACAGACAGTTGCCCAGGGCTGGAATCGAACCCACGTCCCTGGCACTGTGAGGCACCAGTACTAACCACTGAGCAGCCATGCTGCCCATCCATATCTGAACTCCTTCCACCTGTTTTGGCTCCTTTTCCAGCAAAAATTTAATTCGCATCAGATTTCAAATTGCTAATTGATCAAATGTTGACCTTTTTTTTGTGGGAAAGCATTCCACACTCAGCTCTTGAATGAAAACATTGTTTTTCCTAACTTGTCTCCTGAGCAACCAAGTTCTGATTTTTTAGGTAGTCTCCCCTTGCCCTAGAACTACTCACTGATTTCTCCCAATCCTTTGTGAGATTTATTGTTCTCTGGGTCTCTGGAACTTAGATGAACCTCTGGCTCAGAGTCAAGGATTCAACCAACTTGACAGCTTCCACTGTAAGAATCCACACTACCGACTAGAGCCACAGCAATGATGCAAGTGGTCTCTCACCTTACCTTTGTCAGATCCTAATTATTGGAAGCATAAAGCGTTTTGGAGCTAGATCCCCCTTTTGATCAATTTTGGTCAACATTTCCACTTGATCTTGTGCCAATCCAAAGTCTGATCGAACTATGAGTACTTAGCAAATGGTTAAGACCAAATCATCAGGTTTATGAGTCGCAGGGGGTGGAATCTGATCAAACAGATGATCAGACAAGAGCTTGCTGTCACCAGTGCTTTGCATTTCAGAATTTTTGGATAGTGCTTTCTCTTCCTGAATGTCCCCGAGTGGTTAGTTCCTCTGTGTTGTTTCATTTTAAAACTTGGCAAGGAGGCGGAGGGAGGCAACGTGTTTTCCTGAAAGAGGGCAGCAATGCCAGAAGTGAACAAGCCCACTGCAATTTCCCCATGGATCCACTGACCAGCCCAAAGAGGGATTGACAGAATCCTTCACAAGCAGCCTAACCTCGCTTCAGGGAAGAGTATCCCATGTGACAGAGAGAAGAGAAAAGAAGGGTTGATTGTGGGAGTTTGGACTTTGAATTACAAACTCTTGATGAAGAGTTAAAGTCCATTTCACCATGGTTGAGAAATGTGGAAGAGAGGGCAATTGCTTAGCAAAGCCAAGATGGCCTAGAGGTGAAGAGAATATTGAGAGAGATTAAGGGATGCACCATTTTGAGATCATGGCAAAGCTAGAAGAGAGAGACCCAAGAAAGGAGAAAAGGAAGAAAGACAGAATGAAGGAAAGAAGGAATAAAAGAAAGAGATAACAAGATGTAGAGCTGGATGAACACAGCAGGCCAGACAGCATCAAAGTTTTGCGTTATGGCATAAATCTCGGAGAAGACAGTCCTGTACCTTTAAGATAGTTACAAAACATCATGACATTCTGCTTTCTACGTATCTGCCTGGCCTTTATCCATTCTCTCAATGCAATGGAGCCAGTATAGTGGCTTCGGTCAGTTATGCGTATGTGGTGTACAGTAATATCAGTAAGCACAGAACCCAGGCTGTGTGTAATCCGTCGTGTTGTAGCAATGTTCCAGTTAATGTTATTAATAAACTTCAAGGCATCTGTCTCAACAAGCTCCCTGTGGTATATGTTACATGTGCTAAATATATCACACTAGCAGGATTGTCTAACCCATGAGACTATGTTGTGGTGGCATATCACTGAAGGAAGGAAAGGTCAGACAGGCATGGACGTCTAGTCACTGTTGAAACACAAAGACATACAGAAATTAGTTTGCCTGAACAGCAGCAATCAGATAGTCAAATATATTGGTTTCAGCATTGGACAGATTCCCTACACTTGAGATCACAAGTGCGATCTTTGATGTTGGCCTGAGAGAGAAGATGGCACCTGGGTCTTATCTGAAAGAGAGCAGTTTCGGCAGGACAGCATTCCCTCAGTACCAGCTTTGCAGTACCAGTTTTGATTTTTGTGTCCAGCTGTAGATTTACATTTAGGTTTTATTGTCACATGCACTCAACCACAGGATTACAGTGAAAAGTGTATAATGTCACCACACAAGACGACATCTTTGGGGTGTAGACACAAACTCACAGACTTTAGTCATGGCTAACACTGGGACAGTTCCTAATTCCAATCGAATGTGATCAGAATCAATTTGGAGAGAGCAGGCAGCGGGAAGGTTGTATTTGGTGCAGCATTTGAAACTTTGGAGGAACATCAGGGGAAGTTCAGCAGTCCATAATGTTGACAACTCAAGGTCAGCTAAAAAGACTGAAATGGAGAGTTGTTAGAGAATAAAAGTATAAAGGAGAAATAGATTATCATTTTTGTTTTCTTTTCTCAAATGGTAGATGGTGCAGATGAGATGGGAACATCTACCCATATCCGATATCAATAGGAGGAGATGAATAAAAACAGAAATTGCTGGAGAAACTCAGCAGGTGTGGCAGCATCTGTGGTGAGAAAGCAGAGTTTCGGGTCAAGTGACCCTGGAGGCCAGACTGAAGAGCAATGAGCTGCTGATCCAGCCGGCAATATCTACATCCTAGAACAAAATAAAAATTAGAACCTTTCGGAGACTTTGTCTGGACAGTGCAGTATACTATCCTCCCTAGACGAGGAGGTGCAGGTTCAAGTCCTACCTGCTCCAGAGCTGTGTAATAATATCTCTGAGCAAGTTGAGTAGGAAGATAGCTATCCTTGCCCCCGGAGGTGCTGAGAAGTGGAAATAATTGTCTAAGTTGGAACTGGCTGCCTGCCTGCCACCTCACTTAACTGCTGGTCAAGAAGGTTCATGGATGGCTTTCTTAACCGACCATCAATTATGGCTCTTTAAGCAGGAAATTAATAGGCACTTACAGACCTTGACTCCCTAATTTCCTGAGAAAGAAAGGTGGCTAGTCTCTGGCCTGGAGGATCAGGGCTGTGCAGGGGCCTCCAACCGCCCTAATCTGAGTTTAAGACCCTTCCCGTGACCCAGGTCACTGGTGTTGAGGCCTGAGGTACAGCTAGGTGCCCACCAGCAATCTGCACCAATTTAACTGGCAGGTCAAGGTGACCAACTCATGTGGTTGGCAGGCTAATTACCCACTACCTTGCTTGCCCCCACAAGTTAAAAACCAGGAGCATTATGGCCTGTTGTACTATACTTTATGGATTAGGGATCAAGCCTGGTTTCTCTGATCTCCAAATCAGCTACTGCACAGCTTCAGCTATTGATTATCGCATGCAGAGCAATCAATTAATCTGTTCGATTGGATAGAGTGTTCGGACGTCAAGTTCCAATAGAAACAAAGTTTACCGTAACCTGCAAGTTGCATACCTGATGATTTGGTCAATGTGGGTGCTGTTCGTGTTTTTTTTCCTCTTTGTTATTCACAATATTTGGTGGATTTTAAGTCGCCTTTGGAGTGTTTATGCTGAACCAACAATTGGTCTCTCATTGTCTGTTTGTCCCATGACCAACCAAAGCCTTGAGAGGAACAGTGCTTCAGGCAGAGCGATGTTTTGCAGTCCTTCTACCACTTCGACAGCGATAACCTGCATTTATGTGGTGCCTTCAATAGTATCCCAGTGCAGCGCCCTCCTTCACAAGAGTGTTAGCAAAACATAAAAATTTGAAACCAAGCTATGTTAAGAAGAGGTAGGAAATCTTTTGAAGGGCTGCCTGAGAAAGGAGGGACATTTATAAAGGAGAAAAGGCAAGACTAGAGTGGGACCTGCTCAAGCAGCTGAAGGCATGGCCATTAGTGCTGGATCTAATAAGTTTGGAAACCTGCAAGACACCAGAAATGGAAGGGTGCAGAGATCCAGTAGAGATGCGCAGCTGGAAAAGGTTACAGAGTTGGGAATGATAAGGCTACAATGGGATTCGTAAACCAGGGGTGAGAATTCTAAATATACAACGTTGCCAGTTTGGGAACCACTGAGCTCGGGGTTGGTGGGTGAATGGGATCTGGTGCAAGTGAGGATGTGCACAGCCGTGTTTCGAATGAGCTGAGGATCAAGGAGAGGTGGAAATCTGGTGGAAACAAAAACAAACTTGTTACAAATTCCTGGCAGAGGGAGCAGCTTGCAAAGTCAAAACAAGCCAGTTGGAATGGACTCTCTTTCGTTCCATGATCCCCACACACAAAAACTGAGATGCATGCGCTGGAAGCTAAACTTCCGTGTGCATATTGGCCGATTGTTAGATGAATCCAGAGAATAGTAGCTCAGAGAAAATGAACAGACTGCCTTTCCACCATTTCCTTTCTCTATTTGTTGACATCTCCAAGGCCTAAAACCTCAGCACCAATCGAAACACTTCATTATTTTATATCCTTTTGGAGTGGGCCAGGCGAACTTAACTTCCACCAAATACCAGGTACCACTGTGACTGCTGGGTGTTAATTCTTGTCGTGTTGTCCATGCTGTCCTTGTCCCTTGCTCCATCTAGGTTTGTCATCACACTCACTGTCTTATTCCCGTCAAATCCCTGTTCTAAAGATTTCACATGAGGAGGACTATGATGGTGCCAATGGTGAGTGTGCGTCACTTGTGTCTTCTGTGTCTTGTCTCCGAGGTGAAATTTGTTCAAGTGGTATCTTTTTAAAGAGTGATTGTAATCCATTGCAGAGTTTCTGTGACACAGAATCAGGCCATTTGGCCTCTCTGGTCCCTGCTTGCCTATGAGGAGCGGTTAGCTCAGTTGACTGAGCAGCTGGTTGAGATGCAGAGTGATGCCAACAGTGTGGGTTCTACTCCTGGTATCACCATTAACGCCTTGCCCTCTGAACCTCACCTGTACATGAGGGTTTTGATAACCTGTCCAGAGAGTGATGCAGTATAACTCAGGTCCACATCACCTGAAGGAGATGCAAATTTCCAGCTCCCACCTACAGCATAGGGATGCTCAAAATTACACTCTCATTAACCGTAACTGATGGCTACACTTCACATTTTCAGTCTTTGCACCTTCTGTTCCAATTTTCGTAATTTCTCTGCCAGAAATCTTGTTTAAGCTCAAAATTGCGGCAACAGAACGATAGCTGTCCTGTGTGCACCTGGCCCTCAATCTTCATTCTCACCTGTTTCTTGCCTCATCTCTTTTCGGATTTGTGTGGCTTTAAATACAGCCTTTATTTATAAATCCTGGGACAGGACTTTGGCTTGTAGCAGACACAGCATTCGAGGTCAGGTTCCCAATACACCACCAAAATATTCCATCTGACACGAGGTTATCCAAGTAAGGACAGCAGAGAATCTCAATTAGGTGTGGATTTGAGTACAATGCTTGAGCATCTCTCCCTCCAATCCTCCCTCCTGTTGCATTAATATTGTTTTAGGAACTCTACAGATATTGACCCACATCTGACTCGTAGACAAAGAGAAAACTTAATTTTCCCTGCTTTCTTGAAATAATAGTTCACAATGTTTTTTAGGAGCCAATAGTTGCATTTGTGTAGCACCTTTGACACAGTAAAACATCCCAAGGCACTTCACAGACCTTGAGACCAGGAACGAAATATTTGGGTTAGGTTTGGGTGACTCGATTGCTTAAAGAGATAGCTTCTCAGTTGTTCCTTAAGGGATGAAAGGAAGGGGGTGAAATTAGACTCTCGATGGCTGAAAACCTGATTGCCAATGGTGGAGAGAAGGAAGAGGACAGGGAATCCAGAGTTGCAGGAATGCTGAGGTCCAGATGATTGTGGAATTGGAGAAAATTAATACCAAGGAGAGTCTGGGTGGGACTTCATGGAGGCGACGGAGATCTTGCCCATCAGTTGGAGAGCTGTATGTCCCTCACATCACCTCTTTTTAGCAAGACCTGCCCAATGAAGTGCCAGCTTAAGACCCTGGAGGTGAAAGATCTGCCAAAGAGAGCTGCAGCCACTTGAGCCCCAGAACAAATCAGGCAGGCTGATGCCCAGTGTCTGTAGCCGGTGCCCACTGGTGGGCAAAGCAGCCTTCACGTGGCCAGTCAGTCCTTAAATGGCTGGCAGTCACACACTTGGGGATCTCAACTTGTGGCATGGAGCGAAGGCTATTCATGGGCCGTCCCCCCGTGAACTCTAATTGGGGCAGAGGCAAGAAGTTGATGGTGGTCCTCTTCCTGCCCAATTAAATGCCCTCCTGATGCCAAATTTGCCTTGGAGGAAGGTTTTCAATTCCACACTCTGCCTAACCAATCGATCAATGTGAACACATTCACCTGACAGTTGATTGATCTGCAGGGGTGTGGCCTTTGGCCTTGTCTCTATTGGAATATAAATTAGTCTTCCCTTCAGGCCTGTCGTTCCATGACCACTACTTTTGTGTCTGATGCTCAAGTCAATAGTGTGTAATAAGAGGCAGCCACAGTCCTAGAGAGCTGCTCTCTCACTAGACAGAGAGCGAGAGATAGGGAGAGAGAGAGAGAGATGACTGGTGGTGGTTTAACCCAACGGTCATAGAGTCATAGAGCTGTACAACACAGAAACAGACCCTTTGGTCCAACTCGTCCATGCCAACCAGATATCCTAAATTAATCTAGTCCAATTTGCCAGCTGTAAACCCTCTAAACCCTTCCTATTCATAGACCCATCCTGATGCCTTTTAAATGTTGTAATTGTACCAGCCTCCACCACTTTCTCTGGCACCTCATTCTATACACGCATCACCCTCTGCAAGAAAAAGTTGCCCCTTAGGTCCCTTTTAAATCTTTCCCCTCTCACCTTAAACCTAGTTTTGGATTCCCCTACCCTGGGGAGAAAGACCTTGGTTGTTCAACCGATCCACGCCCCTCATGCTTTTATAAATCTCCACCTCTCAGCTTCCGACGCTCCAGGGAAAATAGCCCCAGCCTCTTCAGCCTCTCCCTATAGCTCAAACCCTCCAAACCTGCCTCGTAAGAGCTCATAACATTACACATCCTACAGCCATTGTGCCATCCCAGGAATGGGGGTTGATTAGTTTGGGTGGCTTGGTATGTGCTAATAGAGTGATGCCAACATTGTAAGTTCAGTTCCCAAACCAGCTGAGGTCACCATGAGGGACTCTCCTTCTGAACTTCTCCCCTCGCCTGAGGTGTGGTGACCTTCGGGTTAAACCATCACTAGTCACCTCTTTCCAATGAGAGACCAGCCCATGGTTCGGTAGGACAATGGTGACGTTACCTTGCACGCAGTATAATTAACATTAAATTCTTCTGCTTTGTTGTTGCTTTTGACAAACCTGCAGGGAAGGAGCTGAGAGTGGTGGTAAACGGGAATGACCCTGACTATGAACATTTCTATACAGTGGAAAGCTACAACGAACCAACAGAAGATTACAGAGTGGAACAGCTCCAAAGCTCAGAAAAAACGCGTAAGTGTTCCTCACCCCCTTTTGACTGAACACTTGGTTTGCTTTTCAGTGTTTAAGGAAACTTTGCTCACAGCAGCCTGTGAGATGGACTTAAACCCCCTGGACGTTCAGAGAAATGAGAGATGATTTCTTAGGAATCCCTAAAACTGTTTGACAGTTTGACACGGTAGAAGCAGTTTCCACTGGCTGAGAAGTCAAACACCAGAGGGCACTGAGATGAGGAGAGGCCCCTTTTCACGCTGGAGTTGTGCATCTTCGGGATTTTCCTGTCAACGTTTGGTTATTGATTATGTTCAAGACCAAGATTGTTGGGCATGAGGGGCTCAAGAAGAATGGGTCTCAGGCAGAAGGGTAGAGGTGATGTAGATCATCTGTGTTCTTACTGAATGGTGGGGCAGACTTTAAGGTCAAATGCCCTACTCCTGCTGTTATTTTTACCTCCTTACTCTTATGTGTACCATATTGAACAATTCATGTATTTTGCGTGCTACTTTACACACTGAGTAAATTCCTTTACCGGTCTCTTTCAGTCGATTTTTTTTTTACTTTATTCCCTGATGGGAGACAGGCATCTTTGGCTGGACCAACACTTATTACCCACCTCTAGCTGCCCTGGAGAAGTGGCATTAACCCAACTTCTTGAACCACTGCAGTCCATGTTGTATAAGTACAATGCTGTGAGGGAGGGAGTTCCAGGATTCTGACCCAGTGACCCTGTTGAAATAGCACTAAATTGCAAGTTAGGGCAAAGTGTGTTGTGTCTGAGATGCCTCAAATCAAAATATTAACAGAGATCCAAACGGATCCCATTTTCGGTTTCTGTATAACACTCGGGGATCGTGTTCCTTTATGGCTCGTGATTCAAAGAGAACTGGTGTAAAATGTGACTAACTGAGTAGGGTCGGATCTTGCCTTGATTTCTGATCAGAGACTTCCCCAGATGCAGCAAAGTAATTCCAGAATAAACCGCCGAAATCGAGGAATGCAAAGAGAAGTGCCTGAACTCTGAAACATCCCTTGAAAGGCATTGCATTGTACCTTGGCATTTCCAGAGAGCTGTAGCACAGTTCTGGGATTCTCCACCCAATATGCTGAGGCTGGTAGGGGACAACTGCAGTCAAAGCTAGTTTAAAGACTTCCAATCACGATGTAGTGAGTGGTTAAGATTTGGGATTTGCTGTTTGAGGCTGCATGTAGAGGCGAGAAAGAACTCATTGAATACCAGAAGCAAATGCTTTTGCAGGGGTGGGAGAGTGGGATTAAAAACAGAAAATGCTGGAGAGACTTAGTAGATCTGGCAGCGTCTATGGAGAGAGTTAACCTTTCAAATCTGGTATGCCTCTTCTTGAGAACTATCAAAGAAGAGTCATATCAGACCTGAAACATTAACTCTGTTTCTCTCTCCACAGATGCTGCTATATCTATTGAGTTTCTCCAGCACTTTCTGTTTTTATTTCAGATCTCCAGCATCTGCAACACTTTACATTTGTTGGAGAGTGGTGTTAACTCGGCTGCTTTTGCCAAGAACTGTTAAGGACACAAACAGCTCCTTTTCCCTGCTATATTCATTCCATGATTCTATGACCACTGTTCCCATTTTCTCAGATGTCAGCTGTTAGCAACATTACTGCGGCTCCCCTTTGACACCCGCACCAAACCAACCCTGTGTTCCTAGCCTCTGTCCTGTTACCCTTTCCCCTTTTGCTTCGTGCGATCAATCTCTCTTCCCTCCATTCAAGGACCTTCCTAATGTTTTATCCTCCCTTCCTGTTGCCCTCACTCTCTGCCTCTGTATTTGTTGAAAATTCTGTTAAATCTCTAACATTGCCCGGTTCAGATGCATGATTTTCATTTTGGAATGTTAACCCTGTTTGTCTCTCCACAGATGCTGCCTGGCCTGCTGAGCACTTCCAGCATTCCCTCTTCTCATTTCAGATTTCCAGCATCTGCACTATTTTCCTTTTGCATCTAAGATTGATTGATAGGTTTTAGCCTTTGTGATTTATTGCTTGAAAACATTTTAATGATGCTTTTACACATCAGGACATTTCACAAGAAGCATTGACATAGAGGGTAGACAACATTTTATACTGTATGGGAAGACAGTGCTGATTGGTTAGCAAGTGGATTTTCATTGGTAGAGGCATTGCCATGGGGAATGCACCAGTTGGTCGATGACTGACAGTCAACTGACGAGCTTTGTTTAAATTTTAAACCAGGCAGGTTGACTCTGATTGGTTAAGCTATTGCCCTGAAATATTAACAAGAGGATGGCTGTCATCTGTTGCCAAAGTCCACTTGCTAACCAATCAGCACCTTCTTCTCATACTGTGTAAATGTTGTTTCCCCTTCACTTTGATTTTTCTTGAGAATTGTCCTGATGAGTACAAGACAAGAAACTTCAGCAGAATTTGGCTTTTTATCAACAATATTTCAGTTCTGTCCCAGTAGAAAGTCTACTTTTTTTTAAGAAAACGTGACACTAAAAAAAAATGAACATACTGGTCATACTAAAGCTTCATTCTGAGGTACGCAAGGCGAGTAAGACCAGTGTGTGACTGTCTTACAGAGTTTCTGCTTGGAGCAGCTTCCTGTAGATTAATTTTCAGTTCCCCAGAGATCTCAAACCAAAGCTGTGTCAAACTCAAATTGAACACACTTAGGCAGGAAAGTATCTGCTCAAGTCACTAATGAAATCATGGCAGCTGGTCGAAGGTGCTTCATTTTGACCCTTCTGTTCTGGAAAGGATACAGAGGTATTGAAAAGGAGTTAGGAACATTGAAAAGGTGACGCCAGAACTGAGAGGACATACTTAACAGAAAAGGCAGAACAGACTGGCAATGTTTCCCCTAAAGAAGACAGAGGGTGACCTGAAAGAAGTCTTTAAGGGAACAAAAAGGTAGACATGGAAGGGATGTATCCACTTGTCTTCAGACCAGAGATCATAAATATCAGACAGACACCAATAGATCGATATATATCAGACAGAGACCAATAGATCGATAAATATCAGACAGACACCAATAGATCGATATATATCAGACAGAGACCAATAGATCGATAAATATCAGACAG